ACTGCTCCTGTTTCCTGCTCAGTGAAATTAAACTCTCCTTTGAAGGCTGGCTTTACAGAACTCAGTACATGGTTGCCCGCTCATCTTTTGCTTTTAAACCATACCTTATAAACCAATTCCTATTAAAATCCACATAAAACAACATTTTGCTCAGTAAAGCTTACACTCTGAAGGTATCAGAGATGCTGGCCCAGTTAACACATTGGTAGGCACTCTTCAAGGTAGGTGTATATATCATAAATTGTTCTCTGAGATGACACAGTCCTTGCTACTGCTTGGAATCTTTATATATTTTTTTCTGTTAGGTCAAAAAGGCTGTAATTCGGAAAGTGATCCCTGAACCTTATTTAATGCAGCAAAAATGCAACTGGAAAAGGGAATTGAACTTCAGTGTCTAGAAGTGGAAATGTAATAACTTTCCCCCAGCTTTTCTGTAAAGTGACTTGGGCCATGTGATGAATGCAGAACCTTGGCTCACAAGGTTTTCCTGATATTATACACTTGTAGCAAATAAGGTTAGAACCTTTAAAATATAGCATTTAGTAATATGTTGGAAATAGCTTCTTCCCGACTCCTTTAAAGGTCACCGCATTTGCTTTCAAGTCGTAATTTTAGTGCAGGCCTCCAGTGAGTGGAACTAAAAACATGCTAGTCAATGCCCCCCTCAGTTTCTCAGGGACTGAAATAAAATGACTCAAGAAGTTCATCTATTGCATGTCTGTGTATCTGTTAGTTACTTACAAGCGTTCATTAAAACCCTGCAGAGAAATAGAAATGAGTAAATATTACCTGAGTGCAGGGGTGGATTCTATTTACCTTTACTAGCGGTTTGCAATGGGATCGCACATGCCGAGCATCTGTGCATGCGCAGAAGCTTCTGCGCATGCGCAGATTGCCTATGATGACATCCAGGGCAGTGGGTGGAGCCTCCTGCCAGTTTTACTACTGGTTCTTGCGAACCGGTCCGAACCAGGGGCAACCCACCACTGCCTGGGTAATTCTGTGGTTTCTCAACATTTCCAGGGCCATCTCTTCACAGATATTGGGAAGCCACTCTGGGAGCTGTTTGGGTTAAGTAGCAGGTTGGAAAGGTTTAAAGCAAAGAAACAATATGCATAAAATGGAAGTGTGCACACCAAAAATCATCTTGATGCACTTTCAAAAGGACTGCCATGGCTTTTGTAAGCGCAGTTGAATTTTCTGCATGATTTGACAGAACTGTCCCACTTGATTCCTGGTCTGAGAATGCTACCTTTTGCATAGATGCCTTAGCTTGGACAAAGTGGGGTGCTAGTTCACAGATGGACACATTCATGGATGGTTAGATGTATTGTTGTCTGTGCTTGGAAGCTAAGTGGGTTGGGTCTTCTTAGTACTTAGGTAAGACACCGCCAGGGAATCATAAGACTGTGAGTTAGTCTGGGAAGCTAAAAAAACACTGCTTTAAAAAAAAAGGAGTTGCAAATCAATTCAATCATGGTCTGGAGAACACTATATGGCTGTGTCACCAGCAGTTCAGGTTGACTTGAGAAGATTCACTTTTGTCAAGCTTTTAAAAAGATTTACTGGGATTGCATATTTCTCAGAATTCAAACATATTCATTCAGTGGATGAATCCCTAATATGGAGAAAGGGATGGAAGAAGTAGAGAGAAGTAAAACAGAGTTATGAAGAGATTCCCTGTGGCAAAATGGCAATTGGCAAGAGATTTAAAAAATATTTTTAATGCAGCAGCACTAATCAGATTGTGATCTAGAAATGAATACTATCAAAGAAAATGGAAGTTACTTTAGAATATAAATCCAGAATATGCACTCCAGAAGATAGGCTCAAGATAGAGAAGGATCTTGACAGACTTAAACATTGGGCGCTATCTAACAAAATGAAATTCAACAGTGAAAAAAGTAAGGTTCTACATTTAGGAAAGAAAAACAAAATGTACAGGTACCATATATGTGGTACCTTGCTGAATAGTAGTACTGTGAGAGGGATCTTGGAGTCCTAGTGGACAACCATTTAGATATGAGCTAGCAATTTGCAGCAGCTGCCAAAAAAAGCCAACACAGTTCTGGGTTGCATAAACAGAGGGATAGAATTAAGATCACGTGAAGTGTTAATACTACTTTATGCCTTGGTAAGGCCACACTTAGAATATTGCATTCAGTTTTGGTCACCACGATGTAAAAAAGATGTTGAGACTCTAGAAAGAGTGCAGAGAAGAGCAACAAAGATGATTAGGGGACTGGAGGCTAAAACATATGAAGAACGGTTGCAGGAACTGGGTATGTCTAGTTTAATGAAAAGAAGGACTAGGAGAGACATGATAGCAGTGTTCCAATTTCTCAGGGGCTGCCACAAAGAAGAGGGAGTCAACCATTCTCCAAAGCACCTGAGGGTAGAACAAGAAGAAATGGGTGGAAACTAATCAAGGAGAGAAGCAACTTAGAACTAAGGAGAAATTTCCTGACAGTTAGAACAATTAATAAGTGGAACAACTTGCCTGCAGAAGTTGTTAATGCGCCAACACTGGAAATTTTTAAGAAGATGTTGGATAACCATTTGTCTGAAGAGGTATAGAGTTTCCTGCCTGGGCAGGGGGTTGGACTAGAAGACCTCCAAGGTCCCTTCCAACTCTGTTATTCTATTCTATTCTATTCTATTCTATTCTATTCTATTCTATTCTATTCTATTCTATTCTATTCTATTCTATTCTTCTATAAAACTGCACGAAACTGAATTGTTAGTGGGTTTCTGCAGATAGGAAATTTTCTATTCACTCAACCATTCACAAGGGATCATTAAACTTCTGGAAGTAAAGTAAAAAAACATTTGGTTAGATCCAGTGTTCAACCCAAATGGAAATCAACCCTGCCGCTCCACATTGTTTTTGCAGCTCTCCCAATTCACCCAGGAAATAGAAGTAAAAATCTTCCATTTGTGGAAAACGGGTGTGCCTCTTTCTATTTCTCTCCTGTCATGTCAACTCATAGTTCTTTGGATTCAACCTAAGTGCTGTGCTACTCTAGAGATACTTTGTATTTGAGTGTGTTATGCACAGTATTCACATCTGTGTAATGTTAGCGATAATGGCTGTGGTAAAAAGCATCCAGTTGTACATCAATTGCTTTAAAACAAAAAAATGAATGTTATACAAAGTGTTACATGAGAAAGAAATGGTGCCTTCATATTTAACACTGTGGTTTCAAAATATCTTAAAGGTAAAGGTAAAGGTTCGCCTCGCACATAAATGTAGTCGTTCCCAGCTCTAGGGGGTGGTGCTCATCTCTGTTTCAAAGCTGAAGAGCCAGCGCTGTCCAAAGACGTCTCCATGGTCATGTGGCCGGCATGACTAAACATCAAAGACACACGGAACACTGTTACCTTCCCACCAAAGATAGGATCCCTATTTTTCTACTTGCATTTTTTACGTGCTTTCAAACTACTAGGTTGGCAGGAGCTGGGACAAGTAACAGGAGTTCACCCCGTTACGTGGCACTAGGGATTTGAACCACTGACCTGCCGACCTTTCAATCCACAAGCTCAGCATCTTAGCCGCTGAGCCACCCCACCCCACCAAAATATCTTACATAAAATCAGCTGGCAATGCCACACAGTCACACTGGGATCACTACTGAATCAACAGTACGCACCTAGGAGGTTATGATTAGTATTTGCATACAACGCTTTTTCCTATTCTTCTTGTGCTTAAATTTATTAAAAAGCACAACAACCAGCTGGAATCTTTATTTAAAGAAACAGCATTCAAGCCAGAGATTACAAACAAATGTAAATCTGCTAAAGAGAGTGTTAATATAGTTCTGACTCAACTGCTCACTATATAGAATTGCAATTATCTCTGATACTCCAGAGATGGTGCTTGGGGAATCATTATTTTGCACTACAAAACTAAGAAGATTGTTCTCAGGTGCCGAAGCTATTGATTTTGCTGTTCTCCAGCATCCTCCCAAGCACCTGACCATGCTGTTTAAGTGTGTGTTAACCAAACACGTCAATAAACATAAAACTTTTTTAAAAAACCCTAAAATCCCTTCATAAATAATAATCAAGGACTGAATTATTATGGCACCATAAGTGAAATTGATGTCATTATGATTCAACCCCACAATTTATCCATTCCCAAATTTTAAAATGCATGGAAGCATCCATCAGGTTTCCCTCCCCACCCTCCACTTAAACAAAAAGGAAGCAGAAAAACACCTCCCTGTTGCAGTTTATCTTGCTTAAAAGGACAGTTTTCATAGCTGTTTCATTGGCAGAGGTACCTGCAAAAAGCAGATTGCATTTTCAATGCTTCTTTATTTTGTTTTAGCATGTTCACCTACTTTTGCAGTGATTAAAATTAATGGCACTGAGAAAGGGGAGAAAGTTTTCAAGAGCAGTACTTCAAGTGTGCCACTCCTCAGAGCACAAACTATACTATACCTAAAAGTGATGACTCAGCAGCAATTACACAATACTTGGAGTAAATGGTTAGTATGTGTATGGAAAATGGGTAGTAGGCAGTGGTGGAATTTAATTTATTATTATTATTTTTTTTGCTACCGGTTCTGTGGACATGGCTTGATAGGCATGATGTGGCTTGGTGAGCGTGGCAGGGGAAGGATACTGCAAAATCTCCATTCCCACCCCACTCCAGGGGAAGGATACTGCAAAATCTCCATTCCCACCCCACTCTGGGGCCAGCCAGAGGTGGTATTTGCCGGTTCTCCAAACTACTCAAAATTTCGCTACTGGTTCTCCAGAACCTGTGAGAACCTGCTGAATAGCACCCCTGGTAGTAGGAATCTTTCACTGCAGTAAAGGAGAGGCCAATTAAACTTTTCTTCATTGGTAAATTATCTCTCTTTTTAACTGTTGGATAGCTTTCTTCATTGGCAATTTTAATATTGTTGCCTATTTCAGTATGAAAAATATTTCTATGAGCTTTGTTACTTTAAGAAATACTCATCCACTCTTTGCTTTCCTTCTTTTTCCCACAGCATATTTGCCTTCCGAACTTGATATTAGCTCTTTTTTTAGTGATTTGTGGCCTGGGTTTTCACTACACATAATCATAGGCATCTATGGGATGGCAAGGAGAGGCAAATGATCAAACGGATATCACAATGTTGCTGCACAAACTACATATATGGTGTTGGTATGCAGGTATGAAAGCCATGGTTCATGTTATAATGTAATGATGCCAGAGGTGAAATTCAAAATTTTTCCCTACCGGTTCTGTGGGCATGGCTTGGTGGGGAAGGATACTGCAAAATCTCCATTCCCACCCCATTCCAGGGGAAGGATACTGCAAAATCCCCATTCCCTCCCCACTCCTGGGGGAAGGATGCTGCAAAATCCCCATTCCCTCCCCACTCTGGGGCCAGCCAGAGGTGGTATTTGCAGGTTCTACAAACTACTCAAAATTTCCGCTACTGGTTCACCAGAACCTGTCAGAACCTGCTGAATTTCACCCCTGAGTGATACATGTTTCATTTTCTCCTCACCTTGGTTTACATTGGACATCTGTGAGTTCAAGGACATCAGAAACAAGTCAGATTTGGTCATGCAAAAAACAGAATCATTTTATATAATTATAGGAGGTGAGGAATGAGAAAGTGTTCAAGAACTGCTTAGTGACTCATGCAGTCAAGCTAACATTTATTTCAAGTCTAAAAATAGTTCCTACATACAGGTTAAAAGAGGTAGCATAAATTAACATATATTGTGCAATTTTCAAGGAAAAATGCCAATTATCATAGTTAATTAATATATTAAGTCTCTATTTTGTGTTTGCTTAGTCACACCTATGTACATGATTGCTTCCTGAAACAAAATAATATTCCTGAGATAAGAACTTTGAATAAGTTATAATACCATTCATTCTTTTCAGCTGTCTGAACTTGCCTTAAGCAATAGAAAAATCTGAGCCACATCTCTTGTGGAAGATAAATTGGGCCAAGATCATTTTAAAGTCAGCAAGATCTTAAAGTGGAGTTTCCCAGATTGCACATGGCTTTGAGCAATGTTCAGATTTTGAATAGACATCACAAGAAACTTGTTCTAAGTTTATCCTGTTTTACAGTCTAGGTTGGTCTGCACTGATGTCGAAGTGTGTGGTAGTTGAAAGAAAACACAACCAATAGTTTGTCAATAACTTAATATACCACAACAACCTTCAGAGAGGAATGAGAAAAGTTGATAGTCAGTAGTTTGGTTCACCTTGGATTTCTGATGGGAAGCAGAGCAGAATAAAGATGAAAAAAGAGGTTAGAAGCCTTGTGCCAAGCACCAGGGAAATCAGGCGATCTAGGCAGTTCAAATGGGTATAAAGATTTATTGCAAGCTTAAGCTTTCTACAGGAATCTGAGCTATTAACAGTCAAAGCAATTTGGTGGTAAATAAGGAATTCAAGGTGAGTTGGACTTAGGTCTCTTGTGGGTACAAAGGGACTCATGACTAATGATGTGTTTGACCCTCCCTTGGGCTCAGCCTGGTTATCTCCTACACCTTGATCAACAGTCACTTAATCATCAAACTCAGTAATGCTAGGGCATAATTAAAATAACACACCTATTTTACTATTATCTACTTTACTATTACCAGCACTGATGATGAAATGGTAATGAAATGCTTACTAGAAAAAAAAGTGCAGAGAGCACCTGGAGCCCTCATTTCAACCCTAAGCTACAAATATTCTTCTTTATTGAATCATTCTGATATAAACTGGGGTTTCATAATCCATGTAATTAAGAAAAGATTTCCTGGTGATCAATTGCAATATACGTGATCATGCTTGCTCCTGTTTCTCCTATCGCCTTGTCCTTCTAAGGAAGAGTCCCAACAAAGAATCTTCAGAGATTCTCTTAGAAAGTATTATGGACAACTTTATATTCTGTTTTGAACCTGCATTTCTGGTATGGATACGGTGTAGGGAATATCCAATGTTGCAATTTAACTTCTATACTGGCTCATAGCTAGTCCCATATCATGGGAGGGACCTGCTTACTACAAACTATTTTATGTTAAATTTATATTTACTGACAAAGAAATAAAGGTAGACTAGTATAGATTTATTTCAAGCTATTTAGCTCTCATCAGCTAGCCATACTCATCTGGGATTTGAACCTGGGCTTCCTGCATGTTAGGCAGATGTATTAACCTCTAAACCACAGGTTCTCTTCGCTTTGTCAGCTTGTACCAGGGGAGATTAAATGGGTTTTCTATTAAAGCAACCTGGTCTACCCAAATATGGGAAGGAGCATATATATATGTTGGAGAACTTTTAATTTCCCCACCTCCTCCCTCACTACCAGTTTGCTTCCATAGCTGAAGAAAGCTGAAAGAGGGACCGAGTAGTTTCAATATTTTCCTGACGGGCTAACCAATGTGTCTTACCTCATCCTTCAGCTCTCAATTTATCACACCTGTTTTGAAAAGGGAAGTCCAACATTGCTTTGGGCTTTGTTAGCTTCCTCATCTCTCACTTTCTTGAACGCGGCAGCCACTTGCCTTTGTTTTGCTCTCACTTGTGTGAACAGAATATTGGAATTCAGTTCAGTTCTAAATGCTCTGAATTTTGGCTTAAGGCTGGCAATGGAAACTTGTTGATCAAATCAGCCTAATTGGGGAAAGTTAACATTTCTGTTTTAGGAATAGAGAAATGAATGCCAGGCTAACAGAGACATTGCCCTAAAAGTTCACTGCTTTGAAGAATAAAAATAATGTTGCATTTGTTTTGTCAGCTTTTGTCTCTGAGGCCTTTTTTGTTCTCTATTGTATTTTATTTTCCTGTGCTAGCAAAGGATTTGTATCAGTTAGATTTTTCTTAGGGACATTTGACCAATGAGTGTATTTCTGGCATTTATAGGATTTGACATGCATTTATTAAAAAAAAATACTTTTTTTTCTATTCACTTTGACCCTTGATGGAAGTATTGATACTTTTGAATTCTGGTCTTGGAGAAGACTCCTGAGAATACCATGGACAGCCAAGAAAACTAACCAATGGATCATCAAACAAATCGACTCAGATCTCACTTGAGGCATGAATCACCAAACTCAAATTATCCTACTTTGGACAATTTATGAAGAGACTTAACTTTCTGGGGAATGCTCTAATACTGGGAAATGTGGAAGGAGAGAGAAGAGAATAACCATTAACAAGGTGGATTAGCTCCATTACAATGATGATAGGTGAACTGTTGGAAGAGCTGGGGGACTAGGTTAGGGATCAATTGTCATGGAGAAAATCTATATGATCTCTAAGACTCAGCAATGACTTGATAACGCATAATCACTTAAAGAAAAATCTCTTTAGGGTTTTCAAAAGTTCTAGAGACATTTTCTTTGCCCTGTAAAATATGAACCAGTGGTTTAAATCATACCAAATATTTCTTTTTCTTGGTTATTACCTTCCCATCTCTGCTTTGTTTGGAGTCCTCCTGTCTAAGCAGAGCTTCAAGCATTGCTCTGGCTGCCACCTGCTGTGTCCCAGGAAGTTTCTATCCTGGGGTAAGTTTTGCAGCTCATGTTTTAAAATTGTGATTTTTTAATAACAGGACCACAAACATTACCATGACTTATAACAGAATTTCATTTTAGATTTTTTTTCTACCTGTAGTTGATATGACCTCAAGAATAATCTCTGTGAAAGTTGGCTGGTTGAATTCACCTGAGTGCATAAAACATTTTCATTAATTTTATAAAAATATGCTATTTAATAGGCATTTCCATATTGTGTCCCAAGTGAACAAAATGGCTGATTGTACAAGCATAAACAAGTCTACTCACAGGTGTTCATTAGTTTTATAAAAATATGCTACTTAATAGGCACTTCTGCACTGTATCTTAAGTAAACAAAATGGCTGACAGTACAAGCGTAAACAGGTCTACTCACAGATGTTCAATGGGACTTACACTCTGCTAAGTGCGCATACTTTTTGTAGTTAAAAGCGCCGTCTTTTTTTACATGCTTAATCAATGTAAATCTATGCTGTGATAGAATAGTCAGCAAGAAAAGGAGATTATCCACAAGTGTTTCATACAGCTGCTCTTCATGAGGTGACTGCGAGAAAGTGATTTCCTGTGGTTTTAATTCTAGGAGACAAGGAATCTAGGAATCGTCATCTGGCTGAAATATTCTGCATCTTTAACACCAGGTTTGCTTACTTCCTTTTCTAATCACTTAGATAGGATTGAGATAAATTTGAAACATGTTTTTGAAATTAATTATAAATTAATTTTATAACTCTTCTACCCTTCATGTGAGAAGATGGTTTTGTTTTGAATTCTTTAATTGAATGATATTTTTGAACAATGGATACAGAAGCTAATTTTGAGAGTATCTACCATTAAAGACTGATTGTGTTTTACAAGTTTTACCAGACAAGACTGAGACTGATCTGAAAGTGTAGTTGAAAATAACAGGCTAAAAGTATAGTATGGAAAAATCATCCACTAGACATAAAAAAAGAACTGGCTAATGTCTTAATAATTAAAATGAATATAAAAATAACAATGCAAGAAAGTGACCTAGATAACCTTCCTATTTTTGATTTACAAAAAAAGCTTGTTAAAGCTTTGAAGAATTTTGTGAAAAATTTTGTGCAAAATAAAAATGAAAATAAATTAGTTTAGAACATTATTTGAAGAAAAAAAGACTAAGATTGTTAAAAGTAAAAGGAAAGAATATAATGTTGGTTTATTTGATCAAGTGTGCGCTACATGTTCCAGCATATGCCGGAAACATGGACACTAACCTCACAATTGATACAATAGCTATGAGTGGCACAAAGAGCCATGGAAAGATGCATACAAGACAAGATAGAAAGAACTGCACATGGATTAGAGAACAAACAAAAGTATACAATATCATCAAGAGAGTAAAAGAATTGAAATGGAAATGGGCTGGTCACATAGCAAAAATAACTGATGGCAGGTGGACCACGGCAGTCATAGAATGGATCCCACTTGAAAAAAAGTGTCCATGAAAGAGACCTAAAACAAGATGGATCAACAATATCACCAATTATTATGGGCCCAATTGGCAAAGAAAACCTCAGGACCATATTGGTTGGAAATATGTGGAAGAGGCCTTCATCCTGCAGTGGATAGCTAAGATGATGATGATGATTTGATCAAAGTTAAAATAAATGTTGTTGTCTCTGGTAACTCTTATTAGATTTTGCTGGTAAGGATTGAAATTATGAGTTTTTAAAGGATTTGTTCATAGATAAGAGATGGATATGGGAATAAGAGATAATTTATTGCATTTTAAGAGAATGTGATAAATCATTAAATTTTTAATACCTTGTGATGATGGGGGCAATGAATTCTTTATATGGTTTTTTTTACTCTTTACTATACTCATATTTTTTCTTTTCTATTTTTTCTTTTCTGCACCTTTTTCTTTTTTCTTTTGTTAGTTTGTATTAATTTTTTTTTTCATTGCAATTGTCCTTTTTAATAAAATTAAAATAAAATTTCTATTTAAAAAAGGGAGAACAGTCTCACTTAATGTTTGCCCCTTCCTTGTGATCTGATATAGACAATAGGACTATTATATCCTAAGGCAATTCAATAAGACAGTATTATAATCAGCTGGTGAGTATAAATCATATATCCATTTAATACAGCCATTGTCAGGACTCACTACTATGGTTGAACCATAGGCACAATGGCACAGCCAATTCTTCAGGCCTTTTCTAAAGGCCAGAAGGGTAGATTCAATTCAAGCTCCAAGGGAATGATGTTTCAAAGGGCCGGTACCATGTCAGAAAAGGGTCTCTTCTAGATTCCATCATATAACATTCATAATATACCTTTCCTGCTGGATCTGATGGCTCAGGTAGATATAAACGGGGAGAGGCAACTTCTCAAACACACTTCCCCATATCACATTGCATAAGATCATCATTACTAGCACCTTGAATTGCACCCAGAAGCACTCTGTAGCCAATGGTGCTCATGGATAAGAAGTATAACATGCTGCTCAAGGAGTGTGCATAGTTGCCTGAACTTCTGCCTTTTGACCACTTGTAGCTTCAAAGGCAACTCCCCGTGCAGGATGTTGCAGTAGTCCATTCAGGAGGTAGCCGGGACATGAGTGTGGGAGAGCAGAATCTTGTAGTGCAATTCCTAGGAAAGGGTGCAACTGGAGCATAACACACAACTGTGCAAAGGCCCTCCTGGCCAAGGCTGCCACCTGTTCTTTGAGCAGGAGTTGGGAGTCCAGGAGAACCCCCAGATTGTGGACCTGGCCTCCTCATCCAGAATAAGAGATGGTAAATCTCTGGAACCAGAAGGTCCCAAAACCCAGAGGTACTCAGTCTTGCCAAGGATGAGCTGAAGCCTGCTGTTTCCCCATCCAAACCCCTTCAGCCTCCAGACACTGAGAGAGGACAAAGGCAATATCACTTAATTTGCCAGCGGTATTAATGAATATTGGCTTGGTTACCGGGAAATAGATTTGAGAAATTACGGTTTTAAGCTGGTAACAATGCAGATGGCTCAAGCCCCCTTAGACCTCTGACTTAATGGTTTGTATCCAGAATGAATACAGAATAAGGTGTGTGTTTCTGTGTGAGTATACCATCTCAGTTTGAATTTGTGAAAAAAAAGCAAAAGACAAACAATTGCACAATCCTGCTTTAATGGTATTTGCCATATTGTTCACAGTCTGTGGTAGACTTCCTTGTAAGTTTATGTCATTAGGATGTTCTGGCTAATTTATTATTCATCTCCTATATAATTAAATATTTATAGCTATTAAGGCTTGTTTCTTTCCTGGCAGTCACGGTGTTAACTTACAGTAGTGACTTGGTCATTTGTCAAGTGGTCATGTGGCTGTTACTTCATTAATAGTGTCCTGAGCCTGGCAGAATTAATACCCCTCCCCCCCCATTCTCTTTACAAATTATTTGTCTGTTGATCTGTTTGTCCACTATTAATCCTCAGGAAATAGCAGATTATGCTATCTGATTAAATAAATAAATTCTCTGGTGCATAAATGAATGACACATTTTGCATTGCCTCAGTTATGGGAAGCCACCCAACACCTCTATGAGTCGATATCCATGGCGTTTCTGAGTCATCTAGATCACGTTTGTCCCAAAGGTGCTTTTTTCAAAAGGCAACTGGACTTTCTTGGCTTTTTCCTTGAAAATTTTTTGCTTGTCATCCAATTTTTCGCTTGTCATTAAGAGCCTTGGTGGCGCAGCAGACTAAAGTGCTGTTAAGTAGCACCAGCTGCCTGCAATTACTGCAAGTTCAAATCTCACCAGGCTCAAGGTTGACTCAGCCTTCCATCCTTCTGAGGTAGGCAAAATGAGGACCCGGTCTGTGGGGGCAATAAGCTAACTTTGTATAAAAAAGAACACCGCTTGGGGGGGGGGGGCGAAAGCCCTACTAAGCAGGTATATACAAAAGTATGAAGGCTATTGCTTAAAAGCACTGTAAGCCGCCTGAGTCTCCGGAGAAGGGCGGCATATAAATCGAACCAACAAATAAATAAATAAATAAATAAGAAGATTCTTCACTTCTGGACTATCAAGTTGCCTTCCGAACAGCACCTTTGAGGACCTCCATGTCTTCTTGTCCCAGCCTCAGTTATGTCCATCATGGAAAAAAATGATAAATTCAACTAAAATGGAGCTAGCTGTTCTTGTTGGAATAATTTGAAATAGGTTTATGCATATACTTGGTCTGAGATAGGAATTTTCTTTAGAGATAAAGATGCAAACTGGATAATGTCGTAGATTTAAAAAATGTAAAGTGGCATTACCATATTCTTTTTTCTTTTTCTATTCTGACTTCAAGTCAGTGTTGACACAAGACAGCTGCCTGGACTAGTCCGTGAAGTTTTCTTGGCAAGATTTCACAAGTAACTTGCCCTTGCCTTCTTCTTCCTAAGGCTGAGAGAGAATGACTGGTCCAAAATCACCTAGCCAGATTCATGCCTAAAGTGGGATTAGAGTTTCCTGGTTTCTAGCCTGGTGCCTTAACCACTGAACAAAACTAGCTCTCTATTGGCATTTTATACACAGGATAAAAGTGACTGTAATTCTTTCTGAATCAACTGGCCGAAGGGTTCAATGCTTCTCCTCCCCTTTTTCTAATCCATCCTTCCTTCCTTCCTTCCTTCCTTCCTTCCTTCCTTCCTTCCTTCCTTCCTTCCTTCCTTCCTTCCTTCCTTCCAAAAGTGCTTGAAGGGGGAATCTTATGATGAAGGACTGACTGACTTTAACAGGATGACAAGGTGATAACCCTATTTATTGTAAAGTACTTGATTTCCTTGGAAAGAGAAGCCATTTATGAGCCATGGTGGCACAGTGCTTAGAGTGCACTACTCCAGGCTACTTCTGCTGACAGCTGGCTGCCAGAAGTTTGGTAGTTTGAATCTCACCAGGCTCAAGGTTGACTGAGCCTTCCATCCTTCCGAGGCCAGTAAAATGAGGACCCAGATTGTTGGGGGGGGCATATGCTGACTCTGTAAACCGCTTAGAGAGGTCTGTAAGCAGTCTGAAGTGGTATATAAGTCTAAGTGCTATTTCTATTTATTTCCAGATGACATTTTGCTTTAGTGTCCTGAGCAAATTCATTTCCTCCGTAGTCATAGAATAGAGCTTTATACTTCAGCTGTTTCTCAGGCTTTTTCTTTTAGTAGTACTAGTGGATGCGTTTATAACAGAAACATGACAGATTTGAGGAACAGCTCTGGTTCTAAGGTAGCTCAGCCTTTTGTAGAAGATGAATGACTCCAGAGGCTACTCTGGGACTTTCACCTCACGCTACTCCACCAGATGCAGCCTACTCCTTTCTGGCCAGCAAATAGCTAATCATATCCCTATGTGCTCAATATGCACAGCTGCACATCTGACTTGTCTGATTCATCTGCAGAAGGCAACACACAGGCCAGCTGTTGGGCTATTGCAAAGAATCATGGTTAATGAGAACATTCCTGGAGAAAGGAACCATCTTTGCTGCTTATTCATTCTCAGTCTCCATTCTTTAAAAACTCTTCTACCTCTCAGGAAAGTAAGCGTATTTGCTAAAACTTGCTGAAAGAGTGACAGTTCCTGCTTTTGCAGGCATGAGTTACTTTTCCAGGTGGGTTTCCCCCACTTGTTGCTATCCTTACATCTCCAGATTTCTTCCCTCC